AATGACGCGAAAAATAGGCTATCGTATGCAAAAATAAACCGGAAAATATGAAAAATAAATGGAACGAGCTCACCAGAGAAAAGTTCCAAATATCCGGCGCTGAGGTTGATCCGGATTCGGGGTCACCAATTTAGAGGGTTGCCTATTCCGGGAGCCCAGAGAGCGATTCGAGAAGACGGATCGAGTTGCAGGGAAACTTTTATTGGTTCAGCAAAAGATTCCCTGTTAGCTAGCTATAAACGAACGACACCGTGGACGCTCTAGCTAGGGGAACGGATCAAGCACAGCACACAGAGCAGTCGCGCGTTGCAACCGAAGCGAGCGCCAAGCAAAAATGGCGATGAGCAAGTAAAGCATTCGAACTCAGCAAGCAGTTCAACAAACCACACCGGTTGCCTAAGTGTACAATTAAAGAATTTTGGTTAGAATTTTACACAAGCAAACCGGGGAATCTCCAGACTGCTACAAACCGACCGAAGGCTCTGCGAAGAAGGCCAAAGTATTGATTTCCGGTTCTCGTCGCCTTCTCTGCCTGTTTTGAACACCCGAGATCTTCCTGCACCGGTACACCCAGGTCACCCAGGCCATACAGCGGAAAACGGGAGGCAAACTAATGTAGATCCATTTTGAACTGTTCTCCAGGAGTGGCTTGGGATTCTAGAGCTTTGGTGTTGGAATCGCCATTTGTGTAAATGCCAGGTAAAACTCCACCCTGAGCGTATAAGAAGGAAGGTGGTAAATGACTGCCACCAGTCAGGCGTCGTCAGCACTTAAACATAGACGGCAACAAAGTGAATCCTGTATCGTGTTGACCGCATCCTCTATGGGCTCATAGTGTAGGTGATTGCGGAAGTACAGAGCCGCTCCACCACCTTTGCTGGGTTGGTCGTTCCCAGCAACTAACTTGTAGCTCTTGTACATTTCTTCTTTACAAATGTAGTTCCGTATTCTATTCGCTTTATCATTGTATAGTTTGTCTTAGCTAATTCACTCAACACACTCGTTTCCTAATCTTGTTCTGCGGTTTCGCGCCGGCCTGATGCGTGAATCATCGTTGTGTTTGATGTGCTCGGTGCTGTTCGCTTAAACGGCCAGAAACAATTGTGCTGCTACCCTACGCTATACATCGGATTTTACCAATAAACTGGGAATCATTTGAAGTCGGAACCTTGCCGTAGGTCCGTGACTGTTCTTACCTAAACCGATTGAGTTCTGACTAAAACCATGTTCTGTATTAATAGGTCGTTCGCGACATTTTCATTGACCTCCTTTCGCGTTTCTTTCTTTATATTTTGTTTTTTTATTTATTTCTCTTGTTTTTTCGGTTTTCGTTAACACCATTATTTGAAGCTCTGAACGCCCATATTTTGCCAGGGGCTTTGAACACGTTTCCTCTGAGGCTACATCGAAAATTTTTGTTGGTTTTGCTGTGCCTACTTTCGATGCACCCAATCCTCGTTTTTTGTTTTTACATCTGCAAGTACATTTTAGTTGTCGAAGGAATACCTCCTAGTCCACCATGTTTTCTTACGTTGCTGCATACATCCCTACTCGTATCTCCGCTGATGTCGTAGATTTGCTTGACCCCGTACCGACTGATGCGTCTAACGATAAGCTTAAAGCTACTACTTTTAGGGTGCACTTCCGCTTCCGATGAAGTTCAACTTCAACAAGTTCTTTTCGGTATTGAGCTCAGTGACCGCACACCTTCAATGCCTCTTCGCTACATGTGTCCCTTAGTCGGTCCTACCAAATTCTGGATGTACCCACAGAGGTCACATCTTTTTGAATTACTTTGCTGAATGCTACTTTTGCTTCGGGATTACAGTGTTATACATGTTTTCTGCGTGAATTGTGCACCAAGCTGTGCAAATTGGATGCATATTCTGTGGTTACTTTCGGACAGCTCCTTGATTGGCCCAACTGCCGTTTGTGCCCGTCATTTTGGATTTGTTCTACAGTTATCTAACCTGTGTAGAACAGTAATCTAACCTGTGTCAGCTCGACCACCAGCTTGACCGACTACTTTTGGAATCAGCCTACTCGTGTAGACTCTGCAACGTACGACGTTCGCAGAACTGATACCGATAATGGTACTTCTTGCCCACGGAAAGCTATACCTACAGCTTCCGAAATGAACGTTACATGTAGCGCAGACAACGATGTTCAACTTGTACGACCCGGAATAGAATGTAAAAATTTACGAAAAGATTTTCATCCTCGATGTGCTCGCCTTAGTCACAACCAGTTAAAGAGAGTTAATAGTACGATGGATTCTCTCTGGTTCTGCACTGAATGTACGTCAATTCCACTCGTCAGATGTATAACTGTGTTGGTACAGAAGTGCAGCAGGTTAATAAAATATTGTAGCACAAGAAGCAGTTATGAAAGCCGTTTCATAGGAACGGGACGAATCAGTGCCTCAAATTCGATGCGCAACCGCAAGCTCCAATTCAGGATCGTTTAGCCAGGACGAACCTAAGGTAACGAGTCCGAGTTAGCCACCCCGACACTGCTAATAAAGATGCGTTCATTTCGCATTCTTCATCAAAAGCACGCGCCAAATCGAACTGCTAAAGGTCCGAAGACATACGCGTCCGTTACTGCTACCTATATGACAGAGGTACCTGCCATTGTAACGCCGCCGGTTGCCAAACTAGTTAATACTACTAATAACATCAGTGGACTCAAGACCCCATCAGTTTTCCAACCGAGAAAAGCAGACTCTAGTTTCTCCGAAAACAAGGACATGAAACACTCTCATAAATCTCTTACTATGATATGCTCTAATGCGACTGAATACGATGTGAACTCCATAAAATATAAGCTACTGGACCACAACAAACGCGTGGACTTTCTGTTTTAACAAATATGGGTTCAACCTAAGCCGACCAGTAAGTTGCGTCTCGTCCGTCACCTAAACCCCATAAACTAAGGTGAACCGCAGTTACCCCAGGTAACACCACAGTCAGCTAATGATGCAGAGGTAGTTCTCTTGTCAGCCACTCGACGTCGTGACACCACATGAACTGGTCTAATTTCTCCAGATATTCCTTGGAGCAAACGCCAGAGACGCACACAAAATCTGGATGACTTCTTTAAACAACAATACGCAAAATCTATCCTTGTTCACAGTGTCCCCGAGTTGCAGACACTAAGCGAGCTAGAGGCCAATGCACATGACTGGGATGAATGAACTTTTATTCGAGAAGTGCTGTTGCGAAGTGCTATCGGGAGGTGTTATCGCGTTCACCTAACTACAAAGGGTATGGTCCCAGAGTGATGAAAGTAACATTGCACTCTGAACTGAACATGTGATTAAAATGTGGCATAGAAAGCTAAAATGCTATCATCCGAAAATGTATAAAGGCGATAGTCACCGGGCCACAGCTAGACAAGGTAATACTGAACAGGCAAGTTACCAAAAGAATTCTGCCACCATGTAGCTCAGAAAGAATACAATGTAAAAGCACGCAGACAGGATAGTCACCCACTTGCTGACACTGACGACTCTAAATAGCAAACTGAACTGTCTCTAGGGACTGCGTCATCCGTCCTTCAAAAAAGCGACCGGCACCGGACTTCGCAAGGGTCGGCATAGACCCTCATTTGAAATCGGCATTCACAAACATGATTCTAACCTCCGAGGCCCGCACTTGTTTGTACACCAATGCACAGTCATCTTAGTTAGCTAACCGAGCTTCGTATTCGTTAGGCCTCCACGCCTTGGGACCTAGTTGTGGTCAACGACCCATGGCTGAACACGGAGAGCACCGATGCTGAGATTACTCTAACCGGCATGACCTCCATACGAAACGCTCGACCGAACACAGGAGGCGGAGCGTTCCGGTAGTATCGATCCGACTTACATATTGATATCATTGACGATCCAGAAACACAAGCCATCGATCCTCTTATGCACGTAAGGCATGGTGATGTGTGTTTACTAGCAATAGTTTAACGTCCTCCAATATCGACCTTAGAAATGGGTCAAGGCTTAGCTTCTGAGATGAAGCGAGTCATGGCACGACCACAACGTCACCTACTTCTGGCGGGGGCTTCAACCTTCACGCAATCGAAGTCCTGGCGTCGCTGAGCGAACAATTCAATGCTGGCTTGCAAGAGGTGGTTACCAATATACCTCTGTATAACCAGGTCACCTCTCCCACACAATCTCGAGCGGGTGCCGCACAGTCTAATTTGGACCTTGTGCTCACCAACTAGGATCGGATGGTCGACACCGTGACCATAAATGCACCACTTGGCCGTAGCGATCATGCAAGGTTACTCTTTCGTTACATATGTTAGTTGGAGTACATCAGTGAGATCGACGACGGAACCTATGTCGTTACCCATTACGATATCCTGTCCAACCTCATTCAAAAAACCGACTGGTCCTTCCTGTCTGATCAGCCGCCCGAAGTCGTTTGGAGGGTGTTTACCACCTAATTCACCGAGCTAGCGTTGGAAAGCAAGACCTTTCGTCCGAAGCAGGTTGTACAGTGCAGACTTAGGCTGTACAGTGCATCAGCTTGGCAGACGTAAAAGCGAAGTTCTGACACTTTGCCTGAATTCTACGTGCATTCCCAACGGATCGCGGACTATTATATACCATTTAATCCCGTTTTGCGTCCTCTTTCCAAAATCGGAACAAGTGCTGAAGGATATCTGACGGTTCTCACAAAAACTCTGCAAAACCTTCCAAATCACTCCGTGCTCCGCTCTGCAGTGGATTTTTCCTTACACATCTCAACGTACATCAACCAAATTCCAATCATTCGGCTCGGAATTACCAGCTCCATTCAACAACCACTTCGCCAGCTCCATACAATCGCAATCTACAACTCTTGGCGGTACTTTGCGACATAATCCCTAATACGACCAGCAAATCGGCTTTCCCACTATCGGACCCAAGCTCCATCGTGCCGACTACATCGCACCGACAACCGACCCAAAACGGCATCGATCTATTGATCGATGCTTTCTCTCACCCCAAATCCACTCGACCTTGCGTGCGTGTCACATCGTGTGAGCGAATCACCTAAACGTCAGATTGTCATTTACCACCCGCCCGGGAACGTACTCCATAGACCCGTGCACATAGACGAACAAACGAGACTAACGAACAAACCGCGCAGGTGACGGAAAAACCAAAGAACTGCCCGTCAGCGAAAACAACCCGGAATTTAAACCGGTTGGTTTGCACCACTTATGGCAGTAAAAACTGCGCCATATTTTTTTTCTCGTCTCCCTGAGGTTGTATTTCTATTCAACACTTATTAGACCTACACTCAGCACCATAACATTCTTCCGAGTACCCACTAGAAATGCCTGTTAATAATGTGAAAACGAGAAGCGCCCTCCTCAAGCTGAAGTTGAGAACAGAAAAGACTGTAAAACCCTCTGACAGCACGGATAGAAAACCACCCGATATTACTGTAAAAAAGGGATGTCCATCATCTAAATCCCAAAAAGTCGATGTAGTTGCAAACCACTCCAACTTTACTACCATAATTCCGACTGATACAACAGACCGGATTATAGCCCTCGAGGAAGAAGTAGCCACGCTGAAATGCAAGCTTCATGAATTCAGCACATGCTGTGAACAAGTCTTATCATTCTGCGAACTACTTAGAGGCTCAGAAATTGTTACACTGGACCGTTTGAGCACAGCTGCTTCCTTACTAGACTCAGTTACATCCGAAACGCAAGAACGCCTCCGTAGATCGCATAATGTTATCATTTTTAACGTGCCTGATAAACCGAACATCGACAGGGTAACAAATACCCTCTTAGAAGCATGCAATATGGATGAAGTCTCCTGTCAGTGCCTCAGACTGAGGAAAAAGGATAACATGACCACATATCCGATACTCTTACAGTTTCCAGACAATAGGAGCGCATCTAAATTTGTAGGCAGTAAAAGACTAGTTGCTGCACAAACTAATTTTAAAAATATTATTATCAAACACGATCAAACGCCTCTACAAAGACGATTAACAATGAAACAAAACCCCTCCACCCATCATATACCCCATGTTCCTACTAATGAAACCAGTACTGACGCTATCATCAGCAATGTCGACCTTGACAAGTCACCCGCATCGTCTAATATAGGCGATGATGGACATCACAGTCTTCAGCGGCCTCATGAAAGAATCTCAACTAGCAATAGTGATGTGTCCAAAACTAAAACTACCAACCAAGCTGAACATACAACGGCGCAGACACCTGCTGACCACACACTCAACTCCCCTATCCCTTCTCCAAACTGCGAGCCTTTACAACAGTTTACAGTAACTGTACCTGAGACCTATCGTGAGCGAGACAAAAAATCAGATTGTGACGTTGGCAGCCTGAAAAATAAATCTCAATCCGACCCGAATGAACTAAGCTATAGGTTATCTCCGACCAACCGATGCGTAGGCAAAAACAGGGGAAAGCACCCTGCCAGAATTTCTCCCATAAGCACTCAAAGCTCATTAGGTCTGGAGCAACCACCACCAGAGCGTAGGGATATGCAGCTAGGCCAACCGAGAAAAAGTATACGTCCTCAAGCCTCTACATGCAAAACCGACACTGTTGTCGGGATAAGTTGCAGAGAGCCGGACCAATACTTACCCACAATGCCTCTGACTACGTTTCCAAATCCCGCGACCTCAAGCTGGCAAAGTCCTTATGTGTGCGACACCGAATTAGCAAACGAAAAGTTGGTAGGCCGCAAGGACTTACAGGTAAGAGGGTGCAACCCCTATCTACCTCAGGTCAAAATTCACCCTCCACCACCCGCCGTATTACCCAATTAGCAACAATACAAACCGAAGCAAAATGAGTTCGTGGACTTCAACATCCCCCACCCCTGTATACTACGGACGTCAGTCCTTTTTTAGACTGTCGCGTACCACCACTTCCTCCCCCACCAATCCTGCCCCTACCACGTGCGATTATGAATCAGAGATTAATCAAACTACTGGAGTATGTACTTCATTCAATCCAGTACGATCTGGAGCTCAGTGTGCCTCAGCTACCTCACAACACACAATTCTCAGATACAACGACGATGAAACAAACATTCCCCACCACTTTCATACCATGTTAACAATGTCTTTCAATGCTGTCATCATTAACCTTCGTTCCCTTTTACCTAAATTAAATATACTTTCAACACTTATGTTTATGAGATCCTCCGATATTGTTTTTATCACTGAAACTTGGTGCACGTCAGAAATTAGTGATTCTCAGCTTAACATCCTAGGCTATAAGCTTTTCCGCAAGGATCGCTCGCACAAACGTGGTGGTGGCTGGGCCATATATCTTCGAAATAACCTGACTGCCATTCCCGCAGACCAACCTGTGTTCATTGACTTAGAAGATACACTATGGCTAGTGATCCCATCTATTGATCTTCTAGTGGGTTGTATCTATCGGCCGCCCCGAACTACTCAATTTGCAACCCAAAAGCTAATCGATATGATCAATGTTGCTTCCAGCACCACATACAAATCCAAAATTATGTGTGGAGATTTCAACCTACCACATGTTAACTGGACGCTGCCTACACTCAGAAACACGGCGGAGATTGAGGAAATTATCGCATGTATCCACCTCAATGGCTGGACTCAGCATGCTAAAGAGCCAACTAGAAGTGTTACTACCTTAGACCTTGTATTCATGATGGGAATCGCGAACGCTTATACATTCATTGATAATCCACTACCTGGCTATGATCACAACAAGGTGCTTTGTGATATGACTATTGATTTACCTAAACGACCAAGTAAAATGCTAAAACCCATTCGCAACCTCCATCGAGTGGACTGGAACGCATTTAATGAACTTATCAGTACCATGAATTGGAATACGTCATTCCTAACCCACAACCCTACTGTGGCTACAAATGAGTTTATAAACAATATTGCCCTTGTTGTGGATCTACTAGCACCTACTGTAAGGAGAAATACCCATGAGCATAGGGGTGAACTCAAGCTTCTGTCCAAAGCCAAAATAAAACTAAAGAAACTCCAATCGCTATACAGCAGGAACAACAGCTTCGCAACATTGCTACAAATACACGAGAACTTACTATATTTACAACGTCTAACCCTAACGGTCAAAACCAAAGTAGAAAGCCGGGTACTCAGAAATCCTGAAAAAGTACGTGCATTGATGCAACTACTTAAAAGAAAAAACCCTAAACCACTACAGGAAATTTAAACGTTGGCTATAGACGATGGTTCAATAACGCGCCACATCTTCTGTATATGCGAGGCCAGGAACTCTAGTTTTGCCTCCTCTTTTGTCCCCAACATTCAGCCACTTCATCCTCCACTTCCAAAACGAACGACCGAACTATACTGCAATATCCCTGTGACGTTAAGAGAGGTGCAAAGTGCCATCGCCGCCATAAAACCATCAACTCATCCAGGTCCAGATGGCATCTCTCAAACTGTTATAAAACTCGGAGGAAAAAACCTCGCACTATTGTTGCTAGACATTTTCACTACCGGCTGCTTTCCAGCTCAATGGAAGCAATCCATTATAATGCAAAGCACAAGGGTGGACCGAGAAATCAAATGTCAAGCTACCGCCCAATAAATCACACCTCTGCTGCTGCCAGAGTCCTAGAGCGAATAGTCAAGAAGAACATCGTCCAATATCTTACAAGACTGGATCTGATCAACCCTTCACAGCACGGCTTTCTCTCAAAAAGCTCATACGTTACATACCAGCTACAATTTCTCGACAACATCACGACTATGATTGACAGAGGAATGGCAATTATTATAATTCTGTTGGACATGCAAAAGGCGTTCGACCGCGTGCCACACCAGCCACTGCTGTCTGCTCTAGAATCATATGGAATTGGAAATCCGCTGCTTAACTGGTTCGACTCATACCTAAACGGTCGAACTCAGGTAGTTAAAACCGGTCAGCAACATTCTACACCGAATCCAATAACCAGCGGTGTCTTCCAGGGAAGTGTGCTCGGACCGCTACTTTTCTTAATCTACGTAAACAATATGTGTGACCCGATCATACATGGACACCCATTTCTGTTTGCAGATGATGTCAAACTGATTTACTCATTTCATCCAGACCAACTACGTATGTGTTTGGGGAACATCTGTGAAGACCTATCCGCACTAAATATATCTAGTGAGCGTTTATTAATGAGGTTCTCCGCAGTGAAATCCCAAGTACTTGGGTACAGATGCCGCATCCCAGAAGGCTCCATTATACTTGCCGGAAACGTGATCCCAACGTCTGATTCAGTTCGGGACTTAGGAATTAGGTACTCCAACTCTTTCAATTTCTCCGAATATGTTCTTTAGCAGGTTGCGAAAGCAAGGCAGCTATGCGGATATATCACCAGAACTTTCTCCCTACCTGAAGTACGACTTGAATCATTCAAGACAATCGTACGACCGACTCTGGAATATTGTACTATCGTTCACAGCCAATTGAGAAAGAAAGACAAAACGGCTTTAGAAAATGTCGAACGATCATTTATCAAGCTGGTCATGGGGCGCTGCTCAAACCTGACTTATTATGATCGCTGTCGAAAACTCCAGCTGGATCCACTTTGGCTGAGACGCTTAAAGAACAACCTCGTTCTCTTCTACAACATTATAAACCAACGAATTTACGTAGACAGCACCGCACTTGAACTACGGAAGACTGCAGTCTAGCCCACACGTAATAGTGGTTACTTGATACGTACAAACCTTTCAAGTCATAAAATTCGGTCGAATTTCTTCTTAGTGAGAAACACTTATCTGTGGAACAAACTACCCTTACAGATACGCATGTGTACAAGCCATGTGACTTTCGAAATCTCCTTCAGACCTTCCTCACTATACCAAATGCTCTGAAGATATTTGACTCACAGCAAACACTAGAAACATTGACAGAAGTTGGTATAAAAAACATATGATAATAGCTTACAGCTAGGTTACCCACTACATGTCATTACATACCATACCAAATCTTGTGTCTTTGCAGCCTAATAGTTCCTTCCTTTATTATCTACTCCTGACGATACAAACATCCGTAAATTTTACATATGAGTTGCGCGGGTCTAGGACTCAAGGAAAAGTAATCATGATCCGAAATGCTATCAATAAACTTTGCTTTAATGTTATGAAACGTGTTCACTATACAAATGATCGCCGTGTACCGTCCGTCGGTAAATATATAAATTTATTTATTTATTTATTTATAAATCGTTCCTAAGGACCGCACCAGAAAATGCATGACCTTAAGGCATTCAGCCTGGCATGCTTACGAAGTCTGTCCCAGTAACCTGATCTGGTATGTTTACCCAACTCAACGCAACCACTACGTTAAGTTGATCCGCGAAGAAAAACTACAGCACTAACAGAACTTAGCGACAGAATTCAATACAAATACAAAGTTGCAGTATAGTCACGTCAACAAACGCCGGATGGTGCAGCGGGGATCCCAGTTTTTATGCAATAGATGGTCTGGCGTAAACTACACAAGATGCGGCCAACGTGCTTCGCCAACAATTCACGCACACTTTCCAGCGTGAAACATCATTTCACCCACTTTTGAGACAGCTCCAATCACCACCAGAGTTAAGCCACGTGTTGTTCACTGCAGCTAATGTGATGAAAAGGCTAATATTATTGCGCGTGCACAGCTTACCTGGCGTGGACATCAAATCGAAAACATTGTAGACAGTGGCCATGAACTTTGCCGAACCATTAGCTCGGTACCTTCAATAGTGTCTCGATAAAATGCATGTTTCCGCAATGTGGAAACATGCACTAGTCACATTTATTTTCAAAAGTGGTAATCGTGCGGAGCCGTCGAACGACCGTCCAATCACCCTGATTCCGATGTTATGCAAACTGATGGAAGGTATAATCGCAGAGGAGCTCATGGGAAACCTAGACAACAACAACATCCCAGTATCACGGCTACACGGATGCCACCGAAATCAGTCTTGTACTACAAACGTGCTTCTAGTCCGAGCAAGCTGGACTGAATCAGCAGATACCAGAGTAGCAGTCGATGTCGTCTACCTGGACTTCAGCAGAGCATTCGATCGTTTGGACCACCACACTCTCCTTCGCAAACTTCGAAGCTATGGAACTGGCGACCTTGCTCTAGGTTTGATAAAAAACTTCTCCTTCAATATCACCTGAATGTAAGGGTCTGCAGCTCAATTTTCGATCCAATTGACGTCCAGTTTGGCTCGAACCAAGAATCGGCACTGGGTCCACATTTTTTCTCAGTATTCAGTAACAATCTTGTCAGTATAGTGCAGTCGAATTTCTTACTATTTGCAGATGATGTCAAAATCTGGAATGATATAAGGACATCAGATGATCACATGGTATTGCAGAATGATCTCGACAGGATTTGTGCGTGGTAATCTGATAATTTGCTCCAGTCCAACGTGTCGAAGTGCAAAGTTGTGAACATATGCCATCAGCTTACCCATGAATATCGACTTGAGAACCAACAGTTACAACGTGCTTCCCAGGAAAACGACCTCGGAGTGATCGCGCACGATGATTTGGGCTGCACAAGACAGACTGAAAAGGCATCGACAAAAGCCAGTACACATCTTACACTATAACGGAGGACTTTCGGAAATTTCGAAACATTAATATTTCAGCAAATCCTATACATCTACGTGAGGGCCCAGGTGTCAAATAGGATCCGGGCCTGGCGTCCCTAGTACAAGCGCGACATCGATGCACAAAGTAGAGCACACGAACTAGTCAGAGGACGGTTTCATCTACCTTACCAGTGCAGACTGCACTCCTTGAGATTGTAAAGTGGTGAATACCGACGTCGGCGGCATCCTGTTCTGGATTTTTCTGTCACTGCGGCCTCCACGGGGACAGCCACAGGACGCCTGTGCCTAAAGAGGCAGCATGGGGGGCTTGTGCCGCGCCACACGACGCCATCCAAACACCCCATTATCCAGTGTAAACCCGAAGGAATAAAACCAGGAGGCACGTAGATAAAAGCCACGATTCATCAATGCAGCCGGCGCATACATCTTCACAGACAAACACATCCCCGCTGCATAAGTGTAAAAAGCGAACACAATGAACAAAGAACAAACGATTTATACGATCGAAAAATGTTGCTTTGCAAGTCATGTTGGACGGTTGGTGGGGAGATCAAAATAATAATAAT